ACCCCTTTTCTTCTCTTAATAATATGTGGCACACCAAATGCTATCTCAGCACTGTCCTGTAAAAGGGACAGTTATTCTTGGTAGCTCATACGTCTTCAAACCTCTGAAAGCCAGATGTTGCACAACAAACTTTCAGTCAGTTAACTCGCTGCTTTTTGCTAATGTAGAATGTATACTTTGAGTACTTCCTACCTCTTACTTCAGCTATAGCAGGACGTACTCTTTGCATTTAGGTTGACCAAAAAATTCAAATGTTGGTATCAGTTAAAAAATAACTAGCAAAACATGCCAGAACTTACACTACAGTTTCAGAATACAATATGTAAACTTCTGCTTCTAAGCAAGCAGTTGCACACCTAGTGTAAATACTTTCTCTTCCCCAAATTGGTTTAGTCTAAAATCACTTCTTCCTTCAACTAATTAATACAGCTATGGTTGTAATGTCTTCATCTCAATTTCTGTGCACAACTTGGGTTTGCAGACAGGTGCTAACTTGTATACAAATAGCTAACTTCAGTGTAACTGGAGTTTTTCCTAGATGCATTCATTGTCTAAGGGAATGTATGTGCTATGAACACTTTACATGTTCTTCTAAGTAGATTATTTTGTAAACTATATTCAGTGAGCTTTGAACACGCTTTTCTGTTGCAGGTTTTACATAAGGAAACAAAAGCAATTATGGCCATATAAACTTCTCAGTGCTTCATGCTGTTTGCTGAAATAGCACATGCTTTACTGTGCAGACTTGACTGTTAGGAAAAGTAATTGTCTAGTTCCAGTAGCATATCTTTATGGGAGGCTGTCATTAGTTTAGGAGGACTGAAGGAAAATTGGAGATCTTTAACTGTGTTTTGAATGAGACTTACATTGTTTAATACTGTTCCAATCACTGCACATATTTCCATAACTAATTTAATTTCACCAGGGACAGCAATCATTGAGTTTTGCAGTAAGGAGTAGTCTAAACTAACTGGACACAAAGTTTGAAAAAAATCTTTCCTATGTTCAAGAGGAAAAACGTGGAGAACCAGGAACATGACTAAATGAACACTGTTTATTGTATCTTGTCACGAATTCCGGTTTGTGAATCCTGCTGATTATGTCGATTCACTATGAATG